TAGCAACATGCAGCTCTTTTAACATAATTGTTTTAATTTTCTTATACCTACAAATTAAAACATATATACAAATAAAGCAAAATATAAAAATCTAAATAATAAAGTGTTTTTGTGCCATTGTTGTAAAAAATGGTCATTTATAATACTGATTCACCTGTATGTCTACAGAATTTCATAATGCAAGCATTAGGCAAAAAAATGAGATATAGTGAGAAACAGGTTGACTATGCATTGTTGATAATATATTCATGAAGAGTGGGAAGAACTCTTATGAATTAAAGATGGCTACTTAAATCTGATTTCTGTATCCAAAACTTGACTTTTGCATTTGCTAAGCTTGCATGATCATGACTTTCAAATGTGCAAATGCAGGTTTATGTTAACTAATATTCATTGTTCCTTCCTGATCTGTGTAGGTTTCTTTCTTCACCTACCTAATATTGCAAAACGGGTAAAGGTATCTTGCAGGCTACCTTAGATTGCTACTGGAAAATGTTTATCCTGACTCAAGTTTATTTTAACTGAATTATTTAACATTTAATTACACAATGCAGAGTTAAACTGGGGAATTTGCCACTATTGGCTGGAGTGATGGCCACCAATCAAGATCTTTCTGGAAGGGAACCGGATAAAATCTTGGAAGATCAGACTATGAATGGTTACAAGTTTTGATGGCTGTTTACCATCACTGGTATCATAGGCATTCCACTTCAGTTACTAAGGAACACAAGGGAAGAAGCTATCACCTTCATGTCACTTCTAGACTAGATGGACTGGCCTGGTCCAGCAGAGTCCTTATCTTCTCCCATTTCCTATATTTCTGAAGAATTCCATACTATTGATTCAAACATTCCTTTTAATATTTATAGATTTCCAGGTAATACATATCACTATAGGAAAAATACTATGCCTGAGGCATTTTTTTTCCTGCAACCCTCCCAAGAAAGAAAAAAGAAATTAAACATAATTTGAAAATAGTAGCACTGAGTATAAATCCTAATCAAAGTGATACTTAAAATATTTCAAGTATGAAATAAAAAGCAATGTTACGAAAGCTCTTAATGCATTGATATTCCTGAAAATAGCTGTACCTGTGTGGATCTTTCTGATTCTTTTCTAATTTTAGGGGTTTGTTCTTGTGCATGTTTTGTAAATGCATTTCCAGCAACAATAGTTTGGTTCGGTATTTCTGGAAACTCTAAAATACATAATAAATATTAGATTAAGGATAGTTACTTATATCAGAGCTTGAATAATTTAAGCAAAACATTCATTACTAAACAGATGCTGGCAAAATACTAAGATTTGGAGGAATTCACAGAGAATATGGTAAAAGGCATATAAATACATATATATTCTCTATATGGATCTTGCTAAGAGAAACCCATCATATTGAGGTTCATTTGTTTTTATTTATTTTGCATTATTTATTCATTATCAAATTTATATGCTGCCCATCTCCCCCAGAGGTTTAATCTATATGCTGATAAAACTCTGTCTGTAACCTTTAACTGGTGTATCATAGGGCAACGATTTTTGAATCAAGGTACCTCAAATGGGCTAACTTATAGAATGCGTCCAAAATCTGGGACCCATGACTCCCGTTGGATTGAAACTTTGGGAAGTTTGTGGCCACTTCAGCACTGCTACCCCACTGTGGTCACCCCAGGTGACATGGTCATCATGGGCCCCAACCTCTTTTCTGTCTCCCTGTGGCCCCTGTGCCCAGTCAGTGAGCGGCGATTGGTTGCTTTGGAAATGAGGCAGAAATTTGAAATCTCTTAACAGCAGTTGGTGTTGAGGGAAGGACGAGAGAGCAACTTGGATGCCTGCTAGCAAGGTAGGACTGGCTGGGGGGCCCAGTGGTCAAGGGATGAGCCCTCTTCCTCCCTTGAGGAAGGGGCCCTTGCGACATGCTGGAATGGGGAGTGGGGGTGCAGTTTTCCTCATGGTCTGCGGCTCCCTTTGTTCCACCTCCCCCCAGCAAAGTGGCAGGTAGTTCCACCGATCATCCAAGGAGGAGGAGGCTTCACTGGGGCTCTCCTGAGGGTTGTGAGGGGAGGGCAAACAGCACAAGCCTATATTATATGTGGAAATGAAGGAAGGACGAAAGGAAGGGAAAGGGAGAGGGAGGGAAGGAAGTGAGAGGAAGGGAGGGAGGGAGGGAGGGAGGAAGTGAGAGGGAAAGAGGAAAGGGAGGGAGGAAGATTTCTGACGCTCACTGCCAGCTTCTCACTAGCAAAGTCAGTGAGGAAGCCGGCAGCAAGTCGTAAGCTGCTCACACTCTCACTGCTTTTTTGCCCTTGGTCATTCTGTTTCTCTATTTAGGTAAGGAAATATCTCAAACAATGACCCAGCAGGTCACAGGTTGTCTAGTAACTTATACTCCCAATTTTTCCTTATAAAATCCAACTACAGTCCACTAACATTCTATACATTTTTTTTTTTAACTTCTTCAAGAGTCTTGCATGAATGTAATCTAAATTACAGCAACCCAACTCCTTCCCACTGCAGCATGAATAAAACGGGGACTGTCATAGGCTGGTGGATTTTTTTTGTTTTTCTCTTTAAAAAACCCCTCCCAAACATTTCAGGGTGGGGGAGAACGATTTCATAAGCAGCCTGAAAAAGTAAATATTATGTTTTTCTGGATCCACAAATCAATGTTATAATTAACTAGACCATTATCATTATGGTCAGTTTCTCAAGTCTTATATACAGAAAAATTAGAAAAAAAAAACATACCTCCAGAAGGTTCAGAAGCAGGATCATACTTGGATTCAGGTTCAGGCACAGATTCTAATTCATCCATCTTTTCCTGTCTACTAGGAATGGTCCCTGACTCAATTGTCCCAATGTCACTTTGAGTCTCTGACACACATCTTGATGTCCAGTTGTCTTTTTGGCTCCTTATCTTGTTTAGCAATTTTTTTAGAGCTAATTTTGCTGGAGGCTGGCATGACTTTTCCACTTCACTACCTAAAAAAAGAAAATAAAACACAATAATAATTTGAAAGCGCCGATGAGAAGCAGCAGCTTTCTGGCTATAGTTACATTATAAATGAATACAATTAAACAGTGCTTCCATGATACTATACATTTTAAAAACTGTACTATTTCAGTAAAACTGCCTTAACAGCTACATTGTAAACACAGAATTTTTAAGGATTCTATCCTGCAGTCCTTAAATATTGCAACCCACAGAGGCCAGTAACAAAAAGATTAATGCAAATCACCACAGCTATAGAATAACAGACATTTTAAATAAAACTGAGAATCTACCAGCTCAGAAGAATTTATCCCAAATGCACAGCTTAGGTTCATGGTGTATTGGCAGAACTCACACAGCTTGCTAAGCCATACACCATACTGACCAAACAAACAATATTACAATTTATGATATTACATGAATCAAACCAAGTGTGCATGCTAAGCCTCGCTACTATGCTGCCTACTATTGCATAACATCAAACTGGCTGAATTTAAGCTTGAGTTAAGCTTGACCCCTGTTGACCACCTGGGCACATCCATGTAGTTTCTTTGGTAATAATATGAAAATGGTAGTCCAGGGGTGTTATCGAGATTTGGCAACAATCGGTTTATGAGCAGGGAAGGGATGGGGCAAGCTGAGGAGAAGGCATTGGGGCCAGCAAGACCCATGTGCTCAGAGATGGCTTCCTGTACCAAGGGAGCAAAGTGGCTTTTCCTCTTACTCAGCTGACTGGTGGGGAACACTCCCCTGGCACTTCTGAACAGGCCCCACTTGGGCATTCAGTGGAACTTTGTTACTGTCCTTCTAACCTTCTAGGCATACTGCTGCATGTCCTGCAGAAAATTCAACAGAGAGGGACCCTGTCCTTTAGCGATTTATTGAGGCTTCTATCCTGCTTGACTAAGAACATGGCCAGTTCACGCTCATGGGCTGTAAATACAAGGTCCTGGATTGCAGCCTTTCTCCCTTAGCAATAGCTTTAATAATTGATTCACAAAAACTGGCCTGAAGTGGCCAGGTGGCATTCTGGGCTAGTTGCAGTTGCCTTCTGTTTTGTCTTATTTTCCAGACTAACTTATAGCCCTGAGGTTTCTTAGTGGCCTCCTATCCTAGTATTAACTACGTCCAACCTTGCTTAGCTTTTCTGAGATCAGCCAAAGTTGGCTAGCTGCCTCACTGAATTTTACTATCCACAATTTATACTCTTGTATTTTTATTTTATTTTATTTATTTATTGGATTTCTCTCCTGCCCATCTCCCCCACAAGAGGGGACTCCGGGTGACTTACAAAAAACATTAAAACTATAAATATATCTAAAACACATAAAACATCCAAAATTTAAAACAATACTAAAAAAGGAAGATCCAAGAACATCTTGTACCCTCTAACACACTCTCTCGTGCATTTCTTGATCACAGACTATTACAGTTATGGTATGAATCTGAACGTAATAATTGTACACAAACTTTCAGAAAAAGTACATAAGAATATTCATGCATACTCCATAAAAGTCCTTCAACTGCTATTTTATATTGTTTTAAAATGGTCTCGGTAACTAACAGAGCTGGTCCACACTACTGTATTAGTGAACATGGACATCACTTAGGAATTGTTCGTACCACTTGGCTCACTGTCCTTCATCTCATCTGCCAATCTTCGAGGCAACTCACATACAGATTCTGGTTCCTGGGAAAGTTCTAGTTCATCATCTTGAGATCCATCAGACAAAGCTGGCAAAGGCTGTGGATCGAGATGCAAAATAAGGTCTCCTTTCATTTCTGTGTAAAGAAACAGCAAAATGAAACCAACTATACAATATTCTGTTTTCCAAATTGCAATGCTGTAGGTTACAGAGTTAAAAAAAACACTACCTTGATTTCTGATCATGGCTAACTTTGTTAAGATAAAATTGTCTTATGATGAGACGATTTATAATGATTCAGAGACGATTCAGCCATATGGTAATTTTAACCATCTGCTGTTAAGAATCATAATGTGAACAACACTGTCAACATTTCTGTTAAAATGTGAAGCACCATCCACTTAAAAACAAACATATGGGATTCCCAAATGGAATGCTTTTTCAAATCTTAAACAAGTACATTAGAAACAAAGGATGGGGTAGGGAAACTACCGTATTTTTCCGACTATAAGATGATACTTTTTTCTAAAATCCTTACCCTAAAAA